CCCCCGCTCCCCCCCCCGGGCCGGGTAAGGCCGTCGCCATTGGGTGAGGTGTTAAACAGGCGGCTTCGCTGCGTGCGATGCACAATGAGGAGCTCCCGGGCCCTCTTTCTTGCCCCCCGGCCGCGCTCCGGAAGAACAAGGCTGCCGGTGTCGGGGCCGCCGGTCACAACGGAGCCGGCTCGCTGCCGCGCGGAGGGGCGGCGCTCGCGCCCGCGGGCCTCCCTTGTCTGGACATCCTGAGGAAAAGCGATTTCCCTGCTTTGTGTGATGACGGCTCTGGCATCGGATTAGGCTGCACATTTCTAGCTCTTTGTTGGCAGCGCGTAGCCACACGCAGCCCTCAAAGAATCCAGTCAGCTTATTTTATCGATTAGCTTTTTTTTCTTCTTTTCTTTTTCTTTTTTTTTTCCTGATGCGGATGATTTATAATTTATTATTTTGGAGCCATTTCGGGTTTTGCAACAAAAAAATCCCTATCCTTTTATAACCCCCTTAATCCCCCAGCAGCCTCTCGGCTCCGTGGCAGGTTGCGCTCGCTGGGGCAGAGACGTGCACAAAGCCGGGAGTTTGTCCATGTCTGCGGTGCAAAAGGACAAGTATGTGACATTTTATCTACCCCGGCCGTGCTGCTCAGGACAAGGGCTCGGAGCCAGTTAGAGCCACCAGAGGAAATTAATTATCAAGCGAGTTGTAACGATCTGTAATTGAGTATGGCCGGGAGGACACGGGGGTTTTGTTTTCTCTCCAAGCCGGCCTCTTCGTTTCCGCGGGAGGATTTGCGCGTTGTGGCTGCGCGGGCACACGGACGTGGCGCTCGTAATGAAGTGCCACCTATTGCGGTGGCCTTTGTGCCCACTGTGCACAGTGAGTGTCTTCTGCAGAGCTTTGACGCAGTAGCCATTGGGAACGCGGAGCGCTCATCCCTGTGGATCCCTGTGCTTTGATCCGGGAGGTAACCGCGAATAATTCCTCCTCCTCCACTTCCCGACGGCAGCCTCGTGCGCGGCATGTGCTTCTGGGGCAGAGCTCTGTCCAACGCTGTGGTTTCTCTGGCATTTCTTGGGCATCCACTGCCTGCAAAGGGCTCTTTCTTTGCCCGCTCCTTGTGGAAGAGCGAGGCTGTGTCGCGTTGCCCCGACCGTGGGCTTGAAGCGGCGCTTGGGTGACGCGTCGAGGGCCTCGAAGCACCTCTGTGTTTGTGCTGCGCCCGGCCCAGCAGGGCCCTCGCAGAGATTAGGGCCTCTGGGCACTGATGCAATCGCAGCCGCAGATGCAACGCGCTAAGCCTCTTAGTCCCCTTTATCCCCAGCGTTATGTAAATGGGGGGGTATTTATGGTTCCAGGTGCGTTGGGAGATGGGTAGGGAGGTGAGGCAGCTCTGAGGACCTTTCTGGCCGCTGTAGCCTGCCGGGCCGGTGCTTTTGCTGCTGCACAAGCGCCCCGGGCTCTTCCCCCTGGCAGCCGGTGGGGAAAGCGGTTG